ACACACACACAACAAAGCACTCCGTTTGTCTCACAATACATTTCCTTTCCCTCACCGTGGCGAGATGTCGCAGCCCTGTTGCATGAAAGCTCCCAGTGAGAACCAGAGGGAGTTGAAGATTCCAAACTCATTGGGCGGTTGGTCGGTGGGGCCCAGCTCTGTTGTGCCCTCCTCTGGTTCCTCTGCATGCCACTCATACGGACTGAAGCGACTCACCTAAGACAAAAGAAGGAAAACAGAACTTTTAGAGGAAGAGCGACCAGTGCAGGTACAGACTGATCCAGGTGCATAGAGAGCATTAATAACAGCTTAATAACAAACACAAAGCCATATGGGTACATTTCTCGTGACTTATCTGGAAGACAAAAATGTGTCCTTGAATATGCAGACAATCCGGTGTCATAGGAGTTATGCTGACCTGATCTTGACATTGTAAACTTGCATGTCTCACATTAAGTATTTGCATTTCTTGCATACAGCACTGTCAGTGATTGTAATTCTGTCCAGATAGGACACCTTTAAGAACCTAACAATTTCCTGCACAGAAGATTTCCTTAACACTGCAGAAGACATTGCATTAAGGGCAATGTAGCCATACTTGAAAAGTTATTAAATTATTTAATTCATTGAAGGGTTGTAATAATCTTTAATAGATACACACAGTGTACTCTCAGAAACATTCGGACACATGATCACTGATGACACAATGTATAATATCATCAGAATATGACAAGAATCTCCCATATCATGATCAGCAGGAAATGTGTCCTATATCAGGATTTTATTCTCTTTAAATACATTTTATTCTTAGCCTGTGAGCCAAATAAAATATCGCTTCTTTCAACCCTAAAGCTTTAAAAATGCTTCAAACTCTTACAGCCCTGCAATTTCACTGAAGCACTGACTACTGGTTTTTAAGAATCACTCACCAAAAATAGCACGACACTGACTCCAATGTAAGCAAACACTATGCACATCCAGATCTCGTAGGCCAGCGGGTCCAGGAAAGAGAAAACACCTGGTTTAGACTTCTGGGGCTTCTTGATCATGATGGAGATGCCCAGAGACATGAAGGGCTTCGAGAAGTCGATCACCTCTTCTCTCACGAGAGTGATGGTCAGTGGGGCAACGGCAATTTCTGCTTTCTGCAAAGAGGTGGTGGGGAGAATAGTGTTTGTTTAGTTTAGTTTAGTCATAGAGTAGTAGTTGTTAATGTGCAGCAACTTCATGCAAAAGCAGGAGACTGATGGTGAGCAGGAATTCTCTGTGAACTCTTATGTCTGCAAAAGGAAAAAGTGAGGACAAAGATAAAGGAAGGAGAAATAAAAATTAAAACACAAGGATCAGGTTAAGTAGACACAGTAAAAGATCAGCAGAGTTTGAAGCAGGAGCAACAGAAGGAAGGGATTGAAATAAATAAAAGAGGCAAAGAAAGGGAATTGTGGTACAGCGGGGGAGGGAGAAATGTTGAAAGAGACAGAGTAGGTAGAGGGAAAACCCGAATGACAGAGAAGTAATTCATACGTAGGCATGAAAGTGACACTGCCAGAATATAAATTGGTCTGCAAGGACTCACACACATTTGTGTGCATGCAGACACGCAAAATCTACAGAAGAGTCAAAAAACATCATTCATTCAGCACACTGAGAGCAGTTCTACAAATAATGGAATGCGGCCATTGATAGCATCACTAATTGCGCATCGCTATCTGCGCCTTCTCAAGGTCCGAAACAAAAGATTTTGCGCCCATGATATTACAGCGCAAATACACCCATACAGTTTTGCAGCGGAGTGAAATTTGGCTTTTTTTGGAATTATCCATGAGGCAAATTATAAATGTGCTTAAAGCCAATGTGTGGATTGTAAGAGTCAGACCGAGCAAGGGGTCTTGTAAGGAGTGCCTTGCCAGAGTGCCATTTCCATCCAAACCTGTTTTTTTTTGTGTTTTCGCACATTAGTGCCATAGTTCTCCATACACGCTTGGTACACGGGAGAAGTTTCAGTTGTTTGCTATCTGCAACCTCTCAGCTAGGTGCCTCCAGATCCTACACACTAGACCTTTAAGGGTGTCATTTACCTTTTGTGAGTTTTTTTTAGAAATGCTGCAAAATCCTTTTGTGAACTCGCCTCTGAGCATCTGTTTTTGTGTAACTGCGTGTGTGTCTATACACGATCCGCAAAAAAAGGCTACAATAGCACATCACATGACTTCCCTTTTTTCACTACAGGGAGAGGATGATACAATGCATGTAGAATAAACAGCAAAAGGAAGTAAGAAGCAATATAGAAAGAGAACAGGGTAGGAGGGGGCAGAGGAATGCCAAAAACCCACAACACACTTCAGACAGAGAAATAAAACAAATTAGAAAGGGAAAGCAGGGGACAAAAGTACACATCAAAGAAAAGAAAGTCACAAAGATATACAGAGTAAAGGACATAAAGTAGAGGACACATTTCTGTATTTTCTCTATGTGGCAGAAGAGTCTTAAGAGATGACTGCAAGAAATCAAAAACAGATTAGTCAATGCAGCTGTTCGGTTGTGTCACCTTCCACTACACAGTTTCAGGAGGCTAATTAATTCTGTCAATGTTCTGCAGCAAACGTCTCCACTTTCAGTCTTCCGCAAAATGACAACTGACATTGTCTTCTGCATGTTGATAAAGTTTGCATCAAGACAGCAGTGTGAAATCTCAGACCATGCATGGGCGTCAGTGGCAATTAGCCAGCTTGCCAAATTCTCAAGGATAAGTTAACACTCTGAGACACAGCATCTTTGCAGGAAACTGACATGGTAACTAAGGAGACGGAGAGCTCAAGACAAGTTTGTGTACTGCATAGGAGTTATTTTGAGCATTTCTCATCTGTTGCGAGATGGCCTGTGGCGGGGTCATAATAGCAGAAGCACATAAAATGCCATGTAATAGCCCCGCTGTATATATTAGATTATAAGATTACAATGTTGAAGTTAAGTTGACTCTGTACCAGAGAAGTGTTTATTCAACACAGTTTTTCAGAGGTCTTAATTTGTACTGCTGTTGTACTGGTTTGCTGAACATTATATCCTCCTACCTCATGTATATAGTACTTTGTCTTTGATTAAGGTTTACTGTATGATATTCAGAGCATCAATAGAGCGCTGAGTCCTAAAACTAGAAAATGAGTCTGCATTTTTTCCCCTTCTGGTTCCCTCATCTCAAAGTCAATGAGTTTTTTGAATGGGTTTTTGGTTAGATGCCCGAAATAAGGTCTGTGTTTAACAAAAGCTCAAGAGATTTTAATGTTTTGTTCTATGATATAAAACAGAGTCAGTAAATATCCCTCTCTTGGATTTTGAAGGTCTAACGTGTTCTAGCAAATAGTTCTAATCAATAGTCCGAATATTTGCCATTTAAACTTACCCCATACACAAGCTCTCCAACCATGCCATTCCATATCTTCGTCTCTGAATCTCTGGCTCCATATTTTCCATCCGGTACGATGGAGATCTTGTATTTGATTCCAATGTGTTTGGCAATCTCCGAGGCCAAGTCCACACAGTATCCCTCAAACTGGTCGTTGCCTTCATAGAGTTCCGAGTTCTTCTTCAGCATCACATAGGGACCCTCCTACAAAACCAGCATAAGGGGAGAGAGACACAACTGTTTGGAGGAACATGACAGCAGCGACTATTGGAAGAAGGAAAATGAAAACTCATCAACAGGTGCAAGCAGTTTGGTTGTAAACTTTGTACCAAGGAAAAACACATATTGCACAAGAAAGGCACAGCTCTATAAAATACACGAAAGCAATGCTGCCACATTAAACTGGACACCAACCTCATGATGAAAGAAGAGTTTCATCAGAACATTAAGATTCTGAAATGTATGCATTATAAGAGACTGATTTAACCATACATGGAAGACAGTAAAGGTAAACTGAAAGTCACACATCCTTATGTAGATCCACATTGTTTGAACTATTAAAGGAGATGAACATCTTACAGACAAACCATCTTGTCAGGAAAACACAGAAACCACTCAAAACTTGACAGAAACAGTTGCACAGTTAATACAATTGGGGAAAAATATATTTTTTTGGGGGGGGGGGGGGGGTTGGGTAGATGTTTTATATCTTGTGTCTCTGACTTCTAGTGCCTTGTTTTATTCCTTCGTCTGACTTTAGATGCCTCCTCTGGGATCTGTACCTGACTCAGTGCAACACTAATGCCGAGAGGAGTGAAATGTACAAGAGAGAGGAAAAATACAGAGAGAGAGAGAGAGAGAGAGAGAGAGATGAAAAAAAGAGGAGACTGCTGCTTTGGTAATGTGCCATAAGAGGTAGACTGATTTCTGTGCATGCAGTAAACAAAGATGAAAGCAAAGGGAGAGTTTAATGTTGTGTAGCGACATGGCGGGTGTATTAGGGATGACACACACACACAAACGTATTTACAGAGAAGCATGCACATACAGTACCACACCTATGCAGGATATCCACAGAGAAAAGAAACACACATACTGACTTTTGAGTGACAGCGCAATTGTCCGGAGCAGTGAGTTATGGTATTATGCCTGAGGCTGCTCACCCTGTAATCCAACTGAAGCCAAGTCTATTAAAATGCTATCAAATCCTTTTTAATCAAAGACTAATCTCATCTAATTAATCAAACCGGCTTTCATAATATACAACACTCCCCTGCTATGAAATGGTTTATAAAGATCACGAAACACAATAAAAGATGATAACATGTTTTGGATTGAATTCCTCAGTAAGGAAATTGATTCATATTGAAAACAAGCATAGTTCACATAAGATTCAAGACATCTTTTAAAAGGGGTCAACTGAGCAACATAATCCCTCTGACACAGATGCGGAGGGAGCGATCGTCAATCTGGGAAATTGAATACCATTTGAAGAAAATGATCTAGATCTAGATCAGAAGAAGGCAGGCAGGGGATAAAAATAAATCTTACAATGGAAACTGAACTGTACAAACAAAACCTACAAAGGGAAGCTGGATTTATAGATGAATCCTCTTTCTCTTTAATAAACAAAGAGCTTGAAATATAACTATTTACTTTTGTACTTGTGTATGACTGAAAAGTAAAATAGGGAGAAATCATTTTTTATCATTTTTCAGTTATGGTTATTCAAACTTGTAGAAGAAGGTTAGCATGCTAATACTAATATGGAGAACATGGTAATTATACCTGCTAAACATCAACATGCTATCATAGATATGATGAGCATGTTAGCATGCTTAGTTTTTTTCCTGTTAAATAGTTTGCAAGATTGAAAATGTCACAATTTTCTTTGGGATGTGCGTGTCCATTTCTGTGTGCATAAACCACATTTAACATTAATATTGAACATCAATTCACACTCATGCGAATTAATAAAGATAATGTCAAATTGACAAAAAGGTTGAGAAACAAACGCATTTTAAAACCATCAAAAACAGCCTGAGCATCACATTTCTAACAAACCATTATTCAGTCATCAGTATAATATTTCTTAAAACAAAATACACTTCTTCCAAAACCAGCCATAAAAATAAGACACTTTTGATCAACAACACTTCATCATCATCATCATCATCATCATTACCATCATCATCAAATACAATCATTTGCCCCATTGTGTTCAATGTCAGAACATACAAAAATATTTCCCCTAAAATATCATTATCAAGGACATTAGCATGTCCTGGGGCGCGACTTCCATTGACTCAACATGAATCATAATATTAATGAACAGCACACAGTTTCAAGTGAATTCTCTCAGACAGATCAACACAGCCACGAGGACTGCTCTGTACTGTAGCAGGATAAAGACTAGAGGGTATGACGATGTGAGCTAAACAATATAAAAATACAATACCAGTGTGATTCATAGCTGTAGCCTAATTACTGCTTATATCGAAATCTACAGTTTTTACAATCATCTTGCTGTGTTATTGTTTTTAATTCAATATGTGTTGCTTTGCATCATAAACTTGATGGTTTACCAGCCTGGTGTGATATTAACTGCCCAGATAATCGAAAACGTATTGACAACAATTTGACATTGAAGTTTGTGAGGAAACGCGCTTTAAGAAGACATCTGGTGAATGATACAGAATTGCCTGTTTGTTGCATGCAAAATGAAAGTAACAATGACAATAAGGGAATATTTAGCTTGGGATATTTTCAAGTAATTTAAAAATAACGAATGATGATAATGCTGTAGCCAGATGGACATGATTATATTCATTACAAGCTGTAGTACTTGGCAGACCTGTTTCAGATACACTGAAACACAAATTCAAGAATCTGAACGCACCAAAATAGAAACTTTGGGCCAAACTGGACAGAAATTATTATTCCATCTATCTCATCTAATGGACACAACAAAGGATGACATACAATAATCTTATTCATTGTTAATTAATTCAGCATTTCTCATTTAGAGACATTTTTGGGAAATATGTTTATTTGCTTTCTTGTTTAGAGTTAGATGAGACGATTGATGCCACTCTCATATCTGTCTGTGACATTTGAAGCTACAGCCAGGAGAAGGTTTGCTTAGCTTAGCACAATGACTATCTCGTTAGAGTCTTGTTGTCACCGTGAGGTTGCAGGCAACCAGTGGACGCTTCAGGAAGTCACTGCTCAAAGCCATGGTCTGGGAAGAAATACCCATGTTTTCATTATTTACATTTTGATTAAATGAGATGGTATAAGACACGGGACATGTTAATGAGTGCATTTGATTTTTTTTTTGCATTTAGATAGAGCAAAGCTATATCATAAAGACTGTTTCCAGTCTTTATGATATGCTAAGCTAACTGGCTGCTGGCCCCGGCGACATGTCAAATGGACAGATATGAGAGTCGTATCAATCTTGTCAATGAACACCCTGAAAGACATGTACGTATTTTCCAAAATGTTGAACTTTGCCTTTAATATATTTATTTATTTATTTGTATAAAGTGTCCCACATCAGGAGATTGTATCATCAGTGACACCCCACTTAAAAAATGTAAGAAGGCTGTTTTGCTTCACTTTTCATCTTCAATCATCAAATCTCAAGGGAAACCATTTACTTAATTTGTGCTGACAAGGAGTATGCAACCATCTCAGTTGCCTCCTCCATCAAATTGCCCTGTTTATCATGTTAGAAGGTCAAGTGTTTGAAATGAGAACAGGCTAATTAATTTAGTATCATGTAAGCAACTACACATGAACAGAAACTACAAATAAACACACACACATACAGATGCACACTGTATGGCACTGTTTCACTTTAAAGCCTCCTCAAGGTTTGTTATCAGTTTGCCCCAGATGCCTTTGTCTTGGTGTGAAGGTAATAATGCTAATGCCGATCAGGAGGTTGAAAGAGAGCTTGGACATGGGGATGAAGAGAGGGATGTGGGATGTGTTGGCTGCATGAAACTACAAAAGAAAGATGAAGGAGCAGATCAGAATACAAACAGATAGCTTCAGTGAGGAGAGAAGATAAATAGGTACAGAAGAAGGGAGTGTGAAGGAAAGATAAAATGGAAGAGGAATATGACAATGTGAAAAAATTTAGAGCAAAAGAGGAGGAAAGCAAGACAGAAGAAAGACTGAAAACACAGACATAAAGAGGGAAAACGGGTGGGGGGAAAAGAGGGAGAAGAGCTTTGTAGAAGCAAATGGTTGGTGCTGATAAGACATGAAGCACTTCACACCAGAGCCAAAAAGGCAGACAGGACTTGCTATGTAAACCAGTTAGCCAGCCAGTGAAAAAGACAGGCACCCGACTGGACAGTCACCTAACTGTTCCATCATTGATTCAGGCTGCCATCTGGACGCACAATCAGTTCAGCATCTAAAGAGCCAGACTTTCGCCAGACGTAAAAAGTTATCCAACCACTGAGACGTTAAAAAAGCCGACTAGCCATCCTTTCAGATGGCCAAAGAAGTAAGCCAAGCAGTCAGTCAATCGGTCAATCACTTCATTCATTCATTTAGTATTGCAATTATCGTACATAATCATCTATCCAGTCACATATTTGGCCAGTGAGCCAGTAGGATTATCTTGCAGCAATTCCACCATAAAGCGAGCAAGGCCGTTCAGCAGTCTGTCCACCAGTAAACAAATGACCAGTTAGTCAGTCAGTATCCAGACTGTTAGTCACAATGCCAATCGTCTGTCACCAGACAACCTGCCAGTTAAAAAGCTTTTCACAGTAAGTCAGCCAGACACAAAGACTGTGAGCTGCTGAGTCCACCAGGTAACTAACCAGCCTGCCAAAAACAAGCCTTGTTGTCTGTCTAGCTAATAATTCAACCGCCACCCGTTCAGTCAGACAACGGCATTCAGTTCGGTTCAACATATTTTTCCAAAGCCAATATTTCAGAAGCTTTCATATTTTCTCTTCTGTTTATGAAAGTTGGCCTACTTTATACTATTACATAAATAATGTACCCCCTAATGACAATTTCCCATCTTCAGCTCTATATATGAGTGTCCTGCATCCTGACGAGGAGCCTTGTGGGAAAGCAACATTGACGTTTCATTCATAAACACGCTATTGGAGAACAATCTAACAGTGAGCGGACTCTACAGTTTTGTTTTGAAGCTGGATGTGCTACACCTTTTAGTAATAATTCATCCATCAAAAGACATATATTTGAAGACAAATGTAATCGATTAGAAGTCAGAAAATCTATTATATCGAAATATTATATTAAAGCCAATTAAACATTCAAATCACTAAAGGAGCATTTTGTACAGTATGCTGCAATTAATTAAGGCAAAATCAAAAGGCATAAACAAGAAATTGTGAATTCCTCAGGGACTGTGTTAACAAGTGAAGTAAATGTCAACAGGCTTAACAATCAATCCCCCCATTAATGCACTTTGCTACAATGGTAGTGTGAAACTTAGACAAGTCAAAACATTTAAAATGGCACCATTACAATGTGATGTGTGGGGATCTCTTGTGCTTCAGTCAAGCACCCCTGGTGTTGAATTCCTTTACATTCAGGTGGTGTGTAGAGCTCTCACTGGAACACAGTAGAGGAAAGTTGGCTGAGTGAGCATGACTGAGTAGTTTTACAGAGTGACGGAGCAGAAAGATGAAGATGGAGGGAGAGTATAGTATCACAAGGTGAGGGGCGCCAAAATACACTGGCACAAAGATCTGTCCATGTATCACTCTCCTCCAAAAACAAAACAAAAGTATCGAGAGAAATAGAACAAATGATGCATTTTGGTGAGGCATTTCTTCCTGCAGGTTCTCTGCAGTGTAGCAGAGATGGTGCTGGTGATTGTTGTGTCCTCGAAAGGAGTGAAAAGAATCTGAATTAACAGGGCTGTCTGATGGTCTGGTGATTTTGTGCAGCCAAGTGTCAAATCTTGACAGCAGCCACAGTATCCATCCGACTGTAGCCATTGTCATGAGGAGCACAGCGAGAAAGGCATCCCAGTGCCTTGCAGGCTCAAAACATGGTGGCCGTGTTCTTCTCATCTGTCCCTCTTTGCCATTTCTTCTGTTTTAATGCAGGGCAAACTACTTAAAGAAATAATTTCAGAACAAACAAAGAAAATCCCCATTTAAACAAAATACACGTAAAGACAAAAGCCACCATGACAAAGCAAAACTAGAGCACACTGAGTCTTTGTACAGAGCTTTAGAGACATTCAGTAAATCAGTCTGTCCTCTGTCTTTCCCGAGGGTTTGCGACTCAGGTGAGTCTGTGTGTCTGTCTGTCGCTCTGTCTGCAGACCCGGCATCAGTGTCGCAGCAGAGGCTTCCTCATCATCAGAGGCTGCAAAGAGGAGGAGGTGGCTGAGCTAAGGTTAGCCAAGGCCTGCTGAGGTCACCATCCACAGAGAAATATGCAGGCGGGGGTAGGCATGGAGGTAAAAACGAGGGGCATGGGGGTTGATGAGATGAGTGGAGTTAATGAAAGACAGCAAGACACAGTTAGAGAGAGGGAGGGAGAAAGAGGGGATAGTGAGGTGGGAAACAATCAGATGACAGACAGACACGGGTGGGAAGAAATAGGGAGGGAACAGACAACTGCAGTAATGCCGAACTCTGTTTTAGACACTAACCTCTTTTTCAAACACACAAAATGAATACAATTATATATATTTATGATATATTCTAACAGTAATGTTATATTAACATATATTAACATTTACAAATTTTGCCACAGAAAAAAATAACTTGCCCTTTAATTTATTTGATTGTGTTGATGTATTTTTATTTGCTTGTCTTGGGCCTGGCTAAAGGCACTACCCACTGCGGCTTAACACATTGCCAGTTGAAGTGTGCATGTCTGAAGGCGTGTCAGTCGCTGTGGACATTTAGTCCAGCTGAATTCCTTTTTCTGAACACTTTCCTGCAGCGTGTGTGTTTTTTTTCCTCAGTGCAGACCTGACTGGCCAGTACCACTCCTGGCCAGAGGGTGTAGACTTTCACCCTGTTATCAAATCGTTGAAGGTATTTGTATCGCAAGCACTACAGTACAACGACAGATATTTTGGTCATACTTAGCAGTTTGCTGGATGAAGCGAAGTGGCTTAAGACAAAGTGCTGAATTGCCAAAGCTCACGCATCTGTGGCTTGTTTTATCACAGGGCTGAAATTAGTCTTTTGAGTTGCTTTCCCTTGCATCATTTTGCATGCCCAATTGAATTAGACTGATTGCATTTACAGGAAGGGGATGGCCACCATAAAAAGGCTGCAGATGGGTGAAGTGAAATCAAATGTAAGCAGAGGATGTGCACAAATCCACCGATTAGCCATCCTTTATCCGTGTTTGTGTAAGAAAGAGGAGTAATTATACTGGGCTGCAGACTGGTGTCTATGAGAAAGCCATTCGAGTAGTCTGGACTGAGGTCACTTCTAAATGGTGATCTGAGGTCAGTTTTAGATTTGCCTACTAATGAGACATTAATGTAATCTTCCAGCTGGATAAGTGCCACTCCCTCCTGGCTGTGCTCTGTGCTCATCCTGCTCCAACCTGTTTTTTCTTGGACATTAACAAAACTCTGCCACATAGCATCCACTCAAAGTACTTCATCCCCTGGCTTTCTGTATCCTATTAGGCAACTATTAGAAAACATTTTTTTTCTGTACTGTCAATCATCTTGTGACCCCTTAAATGCGTCTTGGAACCCCTTGTTTGGAACCACCGTAGTGCAGAAGCAAAGCCATGCCTGTAACACATTGGTCATTATCTAGTGCTGTTTAACCACATTCATGCTGCGCACCTGATCTTATTTTTCTTATTTAGCACGTCTAACATCGGTTATTAATCACCTGCTGTGGACCTGATTTGACATTTGCTCTAATCTTGCTTCTCCGTAAACTTTAAGCCTTTACATGAAGCAGATGTGAGGTGGGAAATCAGGTGAGTGCAAGGTTTTGGTGAAATTAAGTTGTGGAATTGGAAAGATTGTTGTGTGTTGAAGGACAGCTTCAAACAAATCCCAAACAGCACCCAAATTATGCAGAAATAAAAGCAGTCTGAGGGTACATTACCATGATAGTTGTCACGACTACTGTGCGGTTCTCCATCGCCGTGCTGTCATTGGACAGAGTATTATCATTCTGGACCAACACAAGTTTGTCTATGTCGTTCCAGTAGCCAATCTGAGAGAAACAGAGTGATAAGAGAGAGAGAGATAATAAGTGATAAAACGAAAAAATATCATTCAATCAATCAGTCTTCATAGCACAATATATATAAAGAAATGGAACCTATGTGAGACGGAGAGAAAGAAATAAAAAGAAATGAGCCAACAGAATGAGCGCGCTGCAGCAGATTTCCCATTGGAACTGTAGAAGATATTGAGAGATATTGAGTGTGAGGCAGAAACTTTCAATGAACACACATCGCTGTCAAAGGAACAATTGAGAAGCTGGAACATGATGTTATTTCGTTATTAAAGGCGCTACATGTATGATTTTTTTTCCAGTAAAAGAGATATTATGAGCAGCTGCAACCTAAGCCTTGTCTTCCAACTTTTTGCTATTACAAATAAGGGTTATGTTCAAACTTTCCTTATTTATGTCACTGTAGAGTTTTATCTACCCCAAGTTTGACTGGGAGCTGCTCCCGAATGTACACTCCAAAAAGATATTAAGACTCAAGCCGTGATGGTTCAGCTGCAGTGCGACAGTTATTAATTAAGAATTCTGCAGATAATTACGCTGTAAATGAATTAATTACACAATTCACAATCATGATGAATAAAACAAGAAATATGCAGCACAGAATATAAACTACAGTTATTATCCTTTAACAATAACAGTAAGTGTATGTCCTGTCAGTGGTGATTAAAGGGAGCTTTCCTTCAATTTTACATGCAGTTGTTTTGACATTGCTTTTCAGCACTACAGCCTGAAAATAAATGACAGAAACTGAATGGAATATGTTGGCTTTGGTATGTTTTTTATGTTGTTCCATGGACAAATTCAAAGTGCTGTTTGTTATTGTTTCTAAGCCATGAGGACAGCCTACCTTGCGAGGTCCGTTGCTCTTTAGCTCAAATACGTCCATGGTATAGTTGACCCTCCGACCGTAGTGATCAAACTGAATGTTTCCAGTCAGGCCCTGAATACGCACCTGCATTCAGAACAAGAAAACCAGCCAAAAACTAACAGTAAGCAGTGAGGCTAATATCTATGAGATGATATTACAAACAGTAACACTGGATTGCATGCATGCATCATTTCCTGTCCATCCCTTGTGCTTAGCTAGGCAACCAGAATCCAGTGCGGGAATGGAGGACACGCCCACTAAAAAATGAAAACTGTTATATAGAATGCAAGTATATTGAATGGTGATTTCAGAAAAAAGGGTGACCATGAGTATTATCCAAAATGGGGTTTGATTTTTTTGAAAAATGTGAGGATTCTAACTTAATCATATGTAGCATCAAGGATTTATTCTCTCCAAAAATAATATGAATAGTCAGTGATCAAAACTTCTGTTCCAACAAGGTTAACAAGTAGCCTATCTTTGAGCTAAGGTTAGAATAAATACTGGGTTGAGGTGGATAGTGCTTATTATCAATGTTAGAGTAGGTACCTGAGCAGTGAATGGAGGTCACGACAATGTCCCCACAAGTATAGCAATACAAGTTTGCGTGTTAAGTGTGTGTGGATTCTGATGGGGACTCCATCAAAGTCCCAACAAGAGTTTAAAATACATAAATGCGCTCATGGATTTCTCTTGTGCATGCTTGTGAACATCTGTCTAAACGTTTCGCAACCTGTCCACACAACATCAAACTTGCGCCAACCTGTTTGAGTGCACGCTCCATATCTATTCCTTGGTTCCAGGGAGCAGCTGGATTGGCCAGGCAGTCGCCAGCGTTGCCGCGGCGACTGATATCAATTTTCTGACGGCGAAGGGTGCGGAAGGCCTCGGCCATCACAAGGACGCCGTCATACGTTAGAGATGAGGTGTACTGAAGGATGGAGGAAAGCATGAAGACAAGAGAAATGTTATCATTGTGACAAGTTTCAAACATAGAAATTGCCATGTAGATAAATACCTCTTCTTCGTTAGTACGCAGTATTACAGAAATACATCCCGTCATACAGTTAAATCTCAAGCATTAAAATGTCTCCTGAAACAAACATAACGAGACCCTGTTTTACTCAGGGGGAATCCAGGGCTTAAAATAGCTTTTTACCAAATAAAGCTGATCCGTACCTACATCCAAGTTTAAATTAAAGACTGAAGTACAGTACATTATTTAGTGTTTGTTGTGTCTAGAATATTAAACGACATGAATCATTTTTAAAATTTACATAATCATGAATATTGGCCCGTTTTACTCCTGTTTTTACACAATCTACTGATTTAAACAACATCACAAAACATTTATTTATATGTTTCTTTTAGTCTGTGAATTACAATGAACAATCACAGAGTCACAGCTTTTTAACACAAGAAGCATCCACATTTTCTTTTCAGTGATGGGTTCACTCTGCAAGACTCCATGAGTTAAGATACACAACAAACTCTTTGAATAGATGCTTTCTGTTATTCACCAAGCCAAAGTAGAATACGCTAATGTTGCCGGGCCAATGTGATTTATTCCTAAAAAGAGAACCAATTTGATCTTAGACAACAGCTGTATCACTGCATCAGACCTCAGACCATCTTAAATCCCTGTAACCAACCTTACCACCATGCAAACACGCTGACCTGTGCCTCAGTCTATCGCGATGACTTTTATTTGACTTCCACAGTTAACACCAGTAAACATCAATCAGCATCACTGTAAATGTGCCAGTTTTAGACAGGCTTTTTCAAATACAGTCGCTGGGCCATTACAATGACATAACATCTGTTTAATATTGTTTATCTGATAATTGAATCCACTTTGTTAGGAATTTCCCTTTGATGGCAAGATAAAGATTCCCAGGATTTATGAATGTGGTTTCATTATATTCTAAAATACGATGTGGCCCTTAAGAAGTGATCTTAAGTAAATATTTTAAAGGACATTTGAAACGTTGCAGTGAGTAATGAAAAGTGAAAGGGTAAGAGATACTATTATCTCTTCTCTGATGAAACTCTTGAAAGTAGTGGTGATCTTGACAGATTGTTTGACAAATTCATTATAAGTAACACACAGTGGGGAACATTACCACACACTCAGCAGCAACAAACCCACCCAGCCAACACACAGACAGAGGCAGTCAAACACACAGCGGGCTGCCTTCACATCACGGCGGAAACGAGTGGTGAGATGAAAATGTGAGGAAAGAGGGACGTCAGCTGAGAGACTCAGCCGATGCTCTCCAAGCCTCTGCAGGTATAGTTTACTCTCTTACTGACGTCTCTTGATTTGCATCCCACAAGGCATGGAAGGCTGCACAACCATGTTATCCTCATTTCATCTCTCCCCTTTGAAACTAAAGAAGCCTTTAGGCGTGCAACTGACATATGATGACTGTAGACTCCAAACCCAGGAGAAACAAAACAACAAAACTGAACCAGATAGCATACTGTTTTTTTGTTTCTCTCACAAGTAAGATAGAAACACCTTGGGGTCACATAGAAAACAGTATTGGTTTTGGAAAAAAACGCCTAATTCTGGATATTTTTTTTAGGATCATTTCAAACCTCCAAGTTCAGGGAAAATCCAGCAAGACAAAACAGAGAAAACTGAACGAGCATTCTCAAATAGACTAGTACGAGTTTACTCCACCAATACCAAGAACCAGATTTATAAATGATGTATGCAATAAAACTCTTTGATTCAATTGTCACATACATTACATATGCAAAATTTGACCTTTACAATTAACTATCCTAAGCACTTAAGAGCAGTGGAGCATCTCGTGGTTCAGTGTCTCCCTCAAGCACACTTCAATATTAGGAATTGAGGTTCAAACCACCAACATTAAAGGACAAGCAGCTCTACCCCAGAGCCTCAGCCGACAAAAGAAAGCACGTGCAACTTTTCACACAGAAGCTACAATAATAATCATGAAAGAATATTGAGATATAACTGAAGATATCCTTTATACTTTGACACATTTACAGGCACTGCAGAGTTGAGAAACACTAGGTTAAGAGATTTTGATTGATGGCCAAAAGCAGCTAGCTCAAAATCCATTCTTCATTGTGAAAGGGACATGTCTGCATAGTGATTTTTACACTGCACATGATTAGACTACTTGGCCTGAGGCTATGAGTTGGCCCAAGGCTAACTGAGCTCAGTTTTTACACAGCACCAATTAGCCTGAAGCACTTTGGAAGCATCTGTTGTAACTAGAGATACCTGGTTTTGTGTTATTGTGTTAAATCATTAAAATCTGGTTTAGTTCTTTGCAAAAGTCAGAGGTAAAACGACATTTTGGGAAGAGAACCTTTGAATGCACCTAATCAAATATGTTCACAAATTTCTGAAAGATCAGAACACTTGCAGTTGTGTTTACCTATATTTTGTAAGCATATACAAAATTCACTGTATCTATTTGTCACAAAAATTTACAATAAGTTTATTTCCATTAACAAACCAACTGTTGTGTAAACGGGTCGATTGATGCAGCTGACATCCACTAATGAAAATTCATCAGGTAAATCTGAGAGCCATGATTAGCCAGTTGACACTGGTCCTTGGGTGAAAAATGACATCCCAACAATAAAAGAACATAACCATCAACACAAAGTCGCAGCGTTTTAAGACTCATATCATAACTAAATTGTGTGCGTGTCCTCTGAGAGTGACTGCATGTGGGTGTGAGTCAAAGAGGACTGGACAGATAGCTGCAATATGATGACTTTTTAATAGGTAGGTGGACATATTTCCAGTTAATATATACACAAATCAAACGCAATGTGCTGCGTGTCAGTACTCGGTCAAAAGACGCGTGTTGAGTGTTTCTGCTTTGGAGCAGGCGGATGGGTCAGGGACATACCACCACATCAAATTCCATCCTTAAATAATATCTATCAGTTGCTTTTCCAAATATGAATCAGTTCCTTTTAGAAATCTAAATATAGTAACCTTCACATTGGCATAAACTAGGACAGCCACACAGCACTTTAAAAAAAGAAAAGACGGACATTTTTAAAGCTTTTTATTCCCTTCTTTGAAAAGAGTGGTCAAGAACACTTATGAGCAAATGCCAGGAGGTGAGTTTTCATTAAAGCAAAATTATGACTGATGTGTTAACTGCACAACAAATTAATCAGAGCGCACAAGGCCAAATTGCCTCTTAAAGTAACCATATGACCGTTTTCATGCAATGTAACATTTAAACGGAGTCCGGACTGTGTGTAGCTGTGAAAATTGTTCTGCTGTATATGTAGATGTACTGACAATGTGATATGGTGGAAAATACCTTTTTCTGAAGTAAAGTGAAGTTCTGCATTTTCATGAATAAAGCAGCCAAGGTAGAATAAGGACATTTTCCCAACCAAAACCGCTTATTGCAACTATTTCAAATTACATTTGTTAGAGTTGGGGAAGCTCTTTCCAATCCTTATATTTAAGGATGGGACAGTGCATTTTTATCACCTTAGGTGGGCTTTCAGATCCAGGGTACTCTCTCTGATCCAGTTTGTTCCAACGCTGCATCAGTTTAATAACAATAGGCCTGCTGAAGTCCACCAGCTGGAAACCAGTCACATTGGCGCCGCCATGCATGAACCGCTCCAGAGATATGTCCTTAAATCCCTGAGAGAGAGAGAAAGAGAGATGGAAAGACAAAGTGAAATAAGGGCCAATGCAAGCACAGGAAGAACAGAGTGCAAAATACAGGGAGTCTCAGGGGAGTCCGAGACCCCTTGATTGACCCCCCCCCATAGCCTCACCAGCAAACATTTGTTTTTTTTGGGGGGGGGGGGGGGGGGAATCTTTAAAAAATAATTTGTCACTAAAAATCTTCCAGCAGTATCCAACATTCGAACTGCAAAATCTTTATTTTCAAATATAAATACAGAGAAAAACATTGTGGTCTTCTTCCATGGGTGGCGCTGTTGCAAATGCTCCGTGATGTAAAAGTTGTGAAAGGTTAAAGTTGTACAGCGAGTTTTCGGGTTGGAAAGACAGAGGCGAGTGCGCTGTGTGGATTCTGTTGCAGGGCATATAGTTGTTGCGTGTTTGTGTGGTTGTGTGAGGGCCTTATTGTTAACAGCATTCGCCTTGGTAATGTGTGTGCAAAGTGTGTACAGCCTAGTTGATTGTCTTGGCTTGCAACCATGAAATCTTGTTGACCTTCATTGCGTTTTGAGTCTGTGTAAGAATTCAGCACCGTGTAACACTGGATTACCAGGTTAGGTGGGACCCCCCAATTGCCACTGGGTATTTCGACAAACTCCTCCGACACAGTGTGGTGACCTTTGCTAACAAGTCATACTTCCATGAGTTTAACTGATTATTTATATCTATTTAATGTGGAGTGGCTTCTACAGCTGAGAGTGTGACTTCATGCACAGTGACCCTTCATAGTAAAGTGGTTGTGGAGAGGGATCCATTTGGGAACAGGCCAAAGACACATTTAGAGTGTAAAAAGATGTGAGGGTTATCCTGGGTTGATGGATGCTAATTGCTAAAAGCCTATCTCACTTGACCTGAGCTCACTGGACCCTTTCTCACCATCCCAGAGAGAACTGCTGTGGAACAGATTTCAGGGATTAAGGTTGAAGCAATACTTCATTTACTGATGCAAGTTCTGGCGGCTACCTGCAGCTCTGACTTTGTTGAGGAAAGACGAAAATGTATTCATTTTGAAGTGGAAGGAAAAAAAGGACAACTTAGTGCGAATTTGTAAAGATCAATGCGGAACATGGCAAACATGGTGTTTTTTTTTTTTTTCTGCTAATAATTTCGAACAAGCTGAATGACAGAGTAGGGGTCAGTAACACATGTGTCTCATGATGTTGGCCTAAAACACGCAGCCGTTGAGTGTCATGGGTGATTCAAATTTGTCTTGTTAATGTTTGTGTCTGTTTGCCAAATCTTAAATAAAAGGGAATTATCTTCATGTAGTCTATTCAGACAAGACACTAAACCAACATTCTCCAAACAACATTTTGCAAAATAACAGCCAAGGACAAGCAATGCCATTTGGAGCTCTTACCAGGTTTGCTACGATGTAATGGTAACCTTTCACATGTTTCCCCACACTTACAGCCTGAAAAGAAAAAAAAAACAGAGAGAGAGAGAAACAATACATCATTTATTTGCTATCTATTGACAATGCATGTGGTGTGGCAAACCAGGGAGCGTACTGTAGGATTCACAATTCACTCACAAGTCATTGAACGAACTAGCTAGAGAAGTTAAAGTTGGTTGAAATCAGTTTTAGAGAGAAGGGCAGGGGAGTCATACTACAGATAAAGGAGACTCCCTACCATCTGTGGCTGTGGTTATATTCTTATACTGATTAAAAGCAGAGGGAGCAGTGAGCCTCTAAGGACTGCACTTGTCCTTGGTACCATGCTGTCTCAGACTCTACACTGGTTAAGTTGAAAGTGAAATCCTGCCCAGCACTGGAATCTGTAATGTTTTTTTTGTCATTGTGAAATAGCACACATTGTGATAGGAGGAATGAGAATCTTCATATTAACATGGTGCCTAAAACTTCATTAATAAATGGCTCACATAATTTTCTTTCCATCTCTGTCCTCCACACATCAACAGCTAGGTAGTGACACATACAGATGCACACACACACACACACACACACGTGCACACACACACAAACACACACAGAACGCAGCTGGCAGGGGCAGTCAAACAGAGCAGTCTCTGTCTCAGTGCAGGGACGCTTGCCAACGCCAGCACTACAGAGCCCACTGTGTCGAGAGTGTGCGTTTGTGTCTGTATGCCTGTCTCTGTATATACTCGCGTGTGTATGTTAGTGTGAGTCTCTCCGTCTGTCTGTTCACTAACCACAGAAGCCAATTAAGAAACTGTCTTACTGTCTGTCTGTCTGGGATGCTGCTACTGGTGTATGTTTGTGTGTTCATGTGTGTGTACTTGTATGACAATGTGCATTTAAAAGCTGGTGTGTATGTTTGCTTGCATTATGTGCTGGTTTGTATTTTACAGATACATGTGCATGCTTGTGTGTGTGTGTGTGTGTGTGTGTGTGTGTGTGTGTGTGTGTTGGGGTGGAGGGTCACTGAGCTAGTCAGATGTGCAGACAGAGGATCAGATGTGATGCGATATGATGACACTGACACCAGAGTGAAAGAGCACACACACAAACAAACATCTGCACCACCTGTCAGAGCTCAACCATCAAGCAAGACAGATGATATAATGAACATGGACAAGTGTAAGGTTTCAGAGTGTGTGCCTTCATATGTGTGTGCGTGTGTGTGTTGTGTGCGTGTTCTCAAAATCTGTATCCGAGTGGACAGTATGGTGTGTTTACTGCAATCATACACTGATGTAGCTGTTGGGGAAGTCACATTTTTCACTCCACATTATGAACTCCAGGGAAAAATTCACATCTTGTTTTCACTCCAGATGTCAGAAAGAATAAGGAGGGTTGTTGCAACTAGCTGAGTGAAGGAGACAGACACCAGTAATACAATTGAAACAAACAATATGGGATACTATATTTGGGAATGAAATACTTTTTGTTTTTTGAATTGTTAAAAAGGTTTGTTTTTAAATACGTTTTTAAAGCTTACTACGTGTTTTAAGTTAATAATGTGTCATGTTGGTGTGTCTGAACCTTATCATTAAGTCTTAAGTGCTGTTAAGTCCAGGTCAGTGATAAAATCTCTGCACTGTCTGTAGTAATCTCAGTGATAGTAACAGTGCCACATAAAACTATAGTGCGGCGTCCATTAAAGCAGTATCTTATGATCTAGATTCTAAATGCTGTAGGGTCCTTCAGGTTCCAGATCAGTGTCAAATGTCATCCTGTGCCTGCAGTGCCTGCAACTAATAGTGATTTTTTTTAATCTTGTGATGTACTGTAGCTAAGGACTATAGTGTTTAGTAATGCACCATGTCGTGTACACGTATATCAATAAATAACCATATGAAGCCACTATCTATCTGGCATCTACAATGTTTAATTTGCAGTGAAATTTTAAGTTAAGTATTCATTAAACAATTATTTTTTCATAATCTTTCCACCCTACCAATTACATTTACAAAACATGATGAGCATTACAATTATTATCAAGCGAAGTGCCCTGCACTTTGTCCTAATTGCAATTTAAAGATACATGTTTAGCCCGTCTCCACTCTCTAACACTACGAGCACATTTCACCATGAAATATAACGATTAGAGTCCTTTAGAAATCTTGTTTTTTAATATTATTGTTTTCCAATTTAGATAGGCAAATACATGTTTCTATTAGAAATTCATAATAGGCTATTCAATATACATATTTTATGTCTCATGTCTCCAGGTTTTCACTCAGTCCAGTTATAGAACCTCGAAACATTTAGGATATAACACAAGTCACATGATCATGTACCAACCTTCGCGTCTCTTGAAGGCCAGGGGAAGGTAAAAAGCAAGTTATCCAATTATCTGTAATTTTGATTATATTGTAAGTACGACTGAGAATATCAATCTCAACACACAGTCCTGTTACCTAAATTATCTCTTAGATGTGTCTTTGTGTTGTTGTTGTTGTATTGAAGAAAGTTTTGGTAAACCACTTGTGTGAACCAAGTGTGAACCCATTACCTGTTCCAGGATGCTTTGTAGTCTTTCAGGCTCCAGGTCAATGACATATTTCCTCTCCTGACGTCGGTCCAACTCCTCTAAGAGTCGGCGGTATGCTGCCTCATTGAAGCTCTCCACACAGATAGCACTCACCTGGGTTAAAATGCACACATGAAACGTGGATGCGCATACAAACACAAACAGCAAAGGAATAAGGTCATGCATACAAACCAGAAGCAAGTTAACAATTGTGTTTGAAGAATTAACACCAAAAACATTGGTTCAGTGAATGTGTGATTGTGTAAATTACACATGCACTGTATGTATGTCGCATAACAGTGTTGTTGCGTGTGATTTTTTTGGCCTTTTTCCAGGAAAGTGTGTGTTTGTGTATCCTGACCTGCCATCCGTTCTGCCCCGCTCTCTCCATAATTGCTTGCAGTATTGCATAACCTAGACAACAGAGAATAAGGGAAGGAAAAGAGAGAGCGGGAGAGTTAAAGTTGTAGGTAGAAGTCATTATTGGGACGTGGAGTAATTATATGTTTTTTTATTTAAAAGCTACTCATCGGAGAACACGCTGCCACTTCAATCAATTCATCAATTTTATAGCTTGGAACAAATCACAGAAAGGAAAGATCTTTTTCTACACAATAGAGTACAAGTTTGAAAAGGCTGAATATGCCTCCCGGCATGATATTATGAGTTTCAAAGTTAATATGATCTCATGAGCAGCAGGTGGAATCACAAGTGATAATGAATTAAAGTGTATTACATTGAACAGCTGTCTAGATGGGTCGTAACAAGAGTAAAAAATAACAATAATGAGAGAAAACTCAGTATCACCTTAATGGTCATTTGCAATATTGGCACACAGATACTGCATTTTTATCATAATGATCGTTGAAATCTCTATCAAACCTCTAAATATGCTGTTAGCTCTGAAGTAGAATGGGAACTGTGGAAAGTATATGAACATATCTCACAATTCACTCAAAGTGTGCATGACACACAATGACACACACACACACACACTGCGGTGCAACAGTGCCAACCCTATTTTCTTTCAACTTTTGTGGAAGCAGCTATTTACTGCTTGAGTTGAAAACAAAAAAAGAACATCTGAAGCCTCAGTAATCACAACGTGTATGTGTGGAAATGTGTGTATTTTTGAGTGGTGTGAAATCACTCTTACTTTTCCAGCCTCACAAGTGATATTGTAAATAAGTTTGTGCCCTAAATTAATGTTTGTGTTTCGGGTAACGTTTGTCCGTGAGTTATACGTATTTTCTAATTCCTGCATGGATGTAAAAACATTAATCTGCTGTATGTCTTTGTAAACTTGTGCGCAAGCTTGTGGACATACCTCAGTTTGTGTGTGTGTGTGAGTGTGTGTCAGCAGGCTGTCTGTGGAGCAGAGCAGAGCAGGGAGCATAAAACAGATCACAGTGTTACTGCCCATTTTCCAGCACATTACCAGCAGCAGGGCCTGATGGGATCCTATAATAAAGGGCCCTGCCTTGGCCAAGTCAAGCCCATACTCTAAGCATCTATCCTCCGCTCCATTTATCCCTCCTTCCTCTCAATTTGCAACCCCTCTTCCTGTTATGTGCTACTGTATCTCCCCAGAGGCTTGCCATCCTGGCTGTCCTCTTACTTCTCCTTTTTGCAATTTCTGTAATCTCCCCCCTGCCTCCCTCCACTCCCTCCTCTGCTTTCTCCTCTTCCTGTCTCTTCCTCTGTCACCTTGTTTGTCTCCTCCTCCCTTTTCTCACACCTGTCTTTCCTATGTTGTCTCTTTTTGACAGCTCCACCAGCTCGACTCACCTAACCTGTCCCTCCTGCTCACCTTTGTCCCTCCTCTTTCTCCTTCTGCTCCCCCTGGGTACTAACCCAGACAACCTGGACCAGAGGAAAGGTGGCAGAGGCACAGATAGAGCCCACACAACTACACACACACACACACACACACACACACACACACACAATCTGCAGCTCACAGATTCCCCCCTAACATGCCACTATACCTTGGTCTGGGGACTCTGCATCATGTTTGACCTGCGTCCCCCTGTGGCAGGGACTTAGTCTGTGCGTGCGTGTGTGTGTGTGTGTGTGAGAGAGAGAAAAAGAGAGAGAGAGAGAGAAAGACAGAGCGTGCCAAGCATTCCCATGACAGTGGACAGGGGCCGTGGGCTCCAGCTGTGCCTGCTCCACTAACTTACGTGCACTGCATGATGGGTGGTTAAATTGACGCCGGTTAAACGCTGCAAGAGTTGAGGCCAAACACTATAGTTTCTTGCTGAAAAGTGCCAAATTACACCCTTGTTTCTGCAGCTGTATTCTTTCATCAGGAAAGTGCAGGTCTAGTAGCACAGCCTACTAACTGGGAGTTAAATTAAGGTTAAATAATCCCAGAAATAGACTTTCAAAAAGATTAATATGACTTGATGACATTATAATATTGTTCTCTGTGCCATTCCAAACTGAGCCCAAATTAACAAATAGTTATTCATGCAAAAAAGCATTTTAAACCAGACTAATTTGGAAAACAATTTTAATCTTCCGTAGCTGAGTATTTAATTTAACCCCAGAGATACTGCTGTTATCAGAGTTTATGAATTCAGCTGCGGCGTCATAAGGACACAGTGTCACTCCAGTCACAGTCATTTGGACTGTTCTGTTGTACAGTGAATGCAGCCTATACAACTGAGTTACAGACCATTTGGCATACTTTCCCCAAATCCCTCTCTGACCTTTCTCTTGAAATCCAATAAGGAATAAAAAGGGAGTAGAAAACACGCAAGAGGTGAAGTCAACTGACAAAACAATATGACTGTACTGCAGCATTTTGATGTCAACTGGTGGAATTACAAAAGTGAACATATTGTAAACTTGAACTTACTTCAGCTATGCAATTTCCTCGCTCAATCCCCGAGGCCAGTAACTAATAGCGGCTAACGTTAATTGTCTATGTTGTACTCTTTACTCCCTCACTTGAGACAGCAATTCATCTATTAGCTTGAGTACAAAACTCATCGTGGGTACTTTTCATGTACACTGATTGCCTTGTAGTTTTGAGTTTAATGGCTATTGTAAAACAATTTGCCTTTTATTTCTATTCTTATTTTATATACTAGTATCTGAAAGTCCCCTCTGCGGATAAATAAAGGCTTATCTTACTTCTTATCTTATCTTTTGAAAGGAACAATCGACTTCAAGGTCCAAATATACGAGTGAATCGTTCATACTTGTTCATATGGAACCCCATTTCAAAACATAGATATTATTTTGGTAAAAATAAGTCTACGGTTATCAAATTGTGTGACTTTCTTTTATCTTGAAACACCAACTCTCTATATAACTTGTTAATACATTTGTCATTGTGCATTCACCTCTGTCAGTGTCGTAGAGGAAGACAAATTGGGTCCAGTCATAGTGGTCCAACAGTGACAGCAATGCCCCTCTGATGGACGGCCGGAGCTGCAGGGTGAACTGGCCCTCTCCTTCGCTGGGGAAGCTGGGCGTCACTAGGCTGATGTGCAGGGCCCCACAGAACGACGTCAGCGTGTTCACCGAGCGCTTGTCGTAAAGGCCAAAGATGGCGAAGACTCCCCTTGAATACTGAGAACAGACTGATGCAAGGAGGGAGTTGAAGGTAAGGGAGGGGTGTTGGGGAGGGATCCAGATGAAAGAAATGAAAGAAGGAAAACAAGGGGAGAAAAATGAGAAAACACGAATACAGAGTTGAGAGCTTTGCAAATGAACAGACAAGAAGAAAAAACAAGAAGGTGGAACAGAGAAAGACACATGTTCCCTAATTAAATACACACTGGATTTTTTAAAAATGTCAACCATTTTAATGAGTGGCAGCCTCAGCTTCTGTCACCTAATTAGACCCACTCATTGAGTGGTGTGTGTCAGCAACCATACATTTAACTGGTCTAAAGACTAAAATCTAATGAAGCTTCAAATGCATCAATCAGTTTTACTTGTTGAGTTTGCTCTAAAAAAAACAGCTTTTCATGATTCATGGACAGATTCATGGCACTTAAAGCAAAAATCCCTCTCTGCCAGACTCAGACATCCTATACATTTACATGTTATTGTAACGTATAAGCACACACTTCTGCACGGACATGGGTGGAAATCAGAATACCCTAAAATCTGACTGTCACAAAATCATTTCCACTAGCCAAAACTGGCATGTCTAATTATACAGTTGTTAAAGAAATTACAGCCAAATAGCCCCACCTGCTTGGAGCTTACAGTGTAACCCCCATGCATACACACACACACACACACACACACACACACACAGACACACACATACACACACAGATACAAAACCCTTGACCGAGCCGCAAGCTCACATCAGATGTGAAGTAATTTTCCACTACAACACTGCAAGTCAGTCTTCAAACACCCTGAAGCTTTCAACCATGAAAGAGAGGAGAGTGAAAAGCATCGACGTCCTCCGCTATCTCGTTTCCACAAAAATCTCTCCTCTGCTTCAGTTTGTCGCTCATCAATGCGGCTCGACCACAACTGTGTTTGCACACCAAAAAAAAAAGCTCTTGGGTGTGTGAGTTGGAGAGTCCTGCATATTCTGACAAATCAACCAAAATGTGCACGCAAACACATGCTTCACTTTCTAAGGACTCAGCGAGTGAAGTGACTGAAAGTATGTCAAATCATTTTTTTTCTCTTTATACTCTTTAATGTTTCTCTTTCTTTCATCCGTTTCTTTCATCCCCTCCTTTCTCTCTTCAGACCCATTCATCCTTTAGCTAGATTCTTTCAGGCGGGCATGTTTTGAGCATGAGCTCTATATCCTGCGTCATAACTCACTCTCCACCCTGCAATACGTCACACTGGAGTAAATGGTGAGACAGGGGGACTGCAGACTTTGCTTTTGGCATCAACCGGCTATCACTCTGTAACCTTTTCTCCCTTTTTAATCTCCTAGCGCATCACTTCATCTCATACCTTTTCCCCTCTCTTTTGTTTTAAAGGCAGACAAGACATCCATCATCTTTCTAGCAGCCTCCACCATCCACTTTCTGTCATCTCTTCTCCCTCTCTTCCCCTATGACTGCCTCCTCTTTTCTGTTCCTCCCTCTCTCCCTCCTCCTGGGACTCAAAATAATTCCATTATCAGCTGTAAGCCTCACTGTGGGTAAATACTGAGGGAGATGCAGCTTTGACGCTTCGGCTTGTGGCAATTAAACAAAGCCGAGGCCCCTGCACCCAGGAGGTGATAAGGCAGGGATTTAGTCTCTGATTATGACAGCAGCTAAATGTCTTGAATTCAGAGAACTAGCATACTACGTATGCAAGCATGCGTCATTCAGTGGGAGCTGAGTCACATCCTCAAAGTCAATAAACTTACTGTCTTACAAGATTTTTGTGATGGCATTTCTAGGTTTTCTTTGATACTTCAGAGCACATTACAACATGAGAGATGGTTAAAGAGATGAGCCTGTGTGTGATTAACTACTAAATGACAGATGCTATATTTTACAGTCCAGTACCTGGAATGCACAAAGATGTTTACACTAAATCACTGAAGTTGACTTCATTAATAAGTGCTCGGAAAAATCAGGAGCAAATGTTCACCTAAACTCAAAATAACAACGAAATGACGAGGATTGAAGCAAACAGCAAGCAGAGAAAGTTTGGTGAGATGTGTCCATTCAGACTGAAACATGCAGGGGAAATTATACTTCACTTATAATGGCAGTTCATGGCTGATAGAAATGGTGTCCTGACTCTGTCTAAGGAAAACAAAAGAATCAACACACAATTGATATTATTTGACAGCAGTGTTATGGCAAAGCCATTCCTGTGCTTTTAAATTAATTTGTGTTTTTGGGATATGCTGCTTTTGGGAACAGAGCAAATATAGAAAAAGCAGCAGAACAAAAACGAAGGAACTTTACATGTGAAGTGACTTATTGTGTAACAGAGTGGAGTGCTGCTCCCATGGCATCTGATGGATTTCTTTTAAAACTTGACTGAAACTACTGGCCTAGAAGCAGTTTGTGACATCACTGTCTGTAAATTATATTTTTCACCCATCTCTCGGGTTTCCATCAGAATGTAAGGACATATTGATAGCCTTAATCCCAAAACAATCTATTTTAAACACCAAGACATCTGTTACCAAACACACAGAGGCCCAGAGCACATAACAACAGTCTCTATGTAAGTCTTGTTCTTCATTCATCCACTATCTCTTTCCCTGTTCTCTCCTATCATTCACCTTCTCACTTCCCTTATTTTCAATCTATGCCTTCTGATGCTGGCTTTGCCTCTCTGACTCTGTCATCCTTTCTTATTCCCATGTTTCCCTTTCTGATGTACGTCTCCATGAGCTTGTTTCTCTGCAATGCCGTCCACCACCACCACCACCACCACCATCACGCCGCAAGGCTGGAATGTGCCAGACAGTGGCGTCATTGTAATAAAATGTGTGCTAAGCTTGCTTCATAAAGCTTTAATGAGAGGAGGGGACCAGCGGCAGGGTGCATCATCACCACAGTAAAAGCATCGCACACAATAGGTCTCCTGGGACTTCCTCTACCTCTACACATCCTTGCCTCCCCCTCGCTTGTTCTCTTAGCATCTCCATAATGTTACATTTCTTTGTGTGTACACTCTCCTGTCTTTTTTCGGGTTCTTAATTGCTCGCTCTGTCTGTCAAACCTTGCTCTTTCTCTGTGCAGCCCTCTCCATGTATCTCCTTAAAACGCCCCTCCTTTAGCTGCATTACTCTATACAGCATATCAAGCCTCAGCACCGTTGCATCTTCCTCTGCCTCTCTTTGATTCATTTCATTTGTGTCTCTGTGCATTTAGAAATACCTCTCAATCATGTGCACACTTGGCACATCCCTTTATTTCTTGTTTTTCAAATTCAATCTTGTCCAATTTGCATAACAGGGAAGAAGATATAATGCTCAATCAGTACACTATACGGACAAATAGCTTAGCTCCCTTTACTCTGGTATTATTTCCCAAGTGTCTCTCATGTGTCTCCCCTCCCTCCCTCTTTCCTCACCTCTCTTAGCATCGTGCCTCCGTCTCTAAACTGGCCACTTGTTTGCATTTCACATCACAGCAAGAGCAGATGCTCTGCTACTGATTTAACTACCACTGCACAGCACACAATATAAAAAGTAACACACACATAACAGACATAGTCATCTATACACATTTTGAACACACAAAAGCATACACCCCCATCCTGCAATAAATAACTTTCAGACTTTCGGTCCTGATGCTGCAGTTGCTTCTCACCCATTAGTCTGAATAACCCTCCCGCTGCAGAGACGTTCTCCAGACAGCCACAGAAACACCGCAACAAATACTGTGAGCTCTCATTACCTGCAGGTACAGGCCAAGAAAGAAGAAGCACCTGTGTAAATGAGGAATACAAACAAGTTTAAAAGCCATAAGGCATAGTGTTCCGGGCATTGCCCGGGGCTACCTTCAGTGCAGCACAGTGGTACCTGGAGGGTGAATGAAGGTAAATGCCAATAACAAGCTTTTATGAGCTATATAATTAGAGAGAAATGTAGCGCCCAGTGCCTTACACTGACATTTCATATTTAAGGCATTAACGGTAGTAACCTCTAGGGGAAGTACGCTCCTGTTTTTTCATTGTGTTTCAGCATTGTGGGGGTTTTGAAAGATCTTTTTACAGAGAGAAGCAAAGAGTGGAGCATCCTGCAGCAAGCAGTGGAGTTTCTACAATGACTAAAACTCTAATCCAGACACAATTAGTTCAAAATGTAGAAGAAATTAACACTCACGATGAGTTCATATATTGAAACAGGGTTAAGAATGATGCAATTCAGGCATGTTGAATCCTCCAAAACATATTTTCTGTTGCAAATTAGTGGTGCAGTATACAAACAGAACTTCTAGGAGACAGGGTTGATCCGTCAAAGCTTTAGGGGTACAGATACAGATACAGATACTATATAGCTGAGAACAAAGCTGGTTTGATAGTACATTATGTTACGTTATGATTAACGGCAGCCAGCTCTTACACACTTTATCTCCAATACAATTTTACTGTCACTATATTTCAATAAAGTTGGGGGGAATTGAGCCACTGCTTCCAAAATGCCCATGGCTTTCTGCATAACAGTAGTTTGTTGAAAAATGGGGAGATCTCTGTACCTGAGTGATTTCAATGGCACAGCTCTCACTTGGTGGATGGTACTTGCTTGCTGGGTAACACTGCCTATTTGTCTCTCGTGTTTGATAGCTGCTCTCAGCTTTTCAAAGTGGTATTGTTAAGACAGACAGAAAACCAAGTCTGGAGGTCAGGAGTGAAGGATACAGATGATCTACAATGTACAACAAAAATACAAAAAGGTTTTGGTATATTTACACCTCTTTGCCCCTATATTGTTTTAGTATTAATTTATTATATCATATATTAATAATGAACATTGTTTTTTTAGCTACTCATCAGTGAGTTTATGATATTTCTCTCATATTATATTGGTAAAATATTATACTATAATAGGGATTTCTGGTCCTTTCCAGAGAGTCTCCAGATAACAGGGAAGATATTTTTCTGCCAGTCACAGGTGCTCCTGCACTCTGCAGCAGCCAAGAGA